TCAATATATACGGTTTCTATGGCTATCGAAAACGTCTATATTGCTCTACAGATTGAGTATCCCTTATCTGAAGTGCTTGGGACCAAAAGTGTTTACAATTTTGGAATTTTTTTGGATTTTGGAATATTTGCACATATATAGTGAGATATCTCGGGGATGGGACCCAAATCTAAACATAAAATTCATTTGTTTCATTTATATCTTGTTTACATAGGCTAAAGGTAATTTTATACACTATCTTTAATAGTTTTGTGTTTGAAATGAAGTTTCTATAGACTGAACCATCAGAAACAAAGGTGTCACTATCTCAGCCTCCATGTGAACAATCTGTGGTTGTTTGGCATCATCATCATGCCTGACTCTGAATTTATATGCTATCCATAAAGAATCATTTTCTTACACTTACTTACACATAAGTGCTTAGTAAAAAATATGACATACCATTAATACGGTGAAGAAAAAATGTGTTCAGGGTTAACTACGCAGGACAGTAGCATCACCAGCACACCTGTGTCAGCTGTTAACAGCAACAACAAACAACAGGCTTTCAATCTCCACCTACAATGTTGTGATTTGATTAAAAGGTTACTGTACAGTGTATTTTATTTTTCTAGGTGAGAAGAAACATCAGAAGCAGTTGAGGGACCAGGAAGTGGGTCCTCTAGGCATGAGCAGGTGTGCTGCTGGATGGCTTTTCTGAATGTTTTCTCCAGAGTCATCTGCCCCATTAACAACAGTTTTTGTCTTAGAAGTCTCTCTTTGATTTTTTTAAATTGACATGATTTCATGTTCTGTTATCAATGCACACTGCTCTAGTCCTTCAACAAACCCATCACACAATTTTCACCATGTCATCTATAGGCACTTTTTCTGCAGTGTTAACATCATCTTCATCATCATTGATTATCATGAACACGTTGATTCAGAACCGTTTCAGCTACTTCACCAAGTCAGTGAATGAACAACTGGAGCCCCCTTATCACTGTTAAACACTTTGATATTCACTTCTTCCAGCTTACTGATGGAGTCTGAAGTTATATGTTTTTGCATGTAAGGAGGTCAGACATCATTTTTTTCCTCACTTGACAAATGAAATGCTTCAAAGTCGCCACCTTGTTCATCATCATCACTGAACACAGTAATAGACCAGAGGTTGTGTCAGGCATGCACAACTGTGTCTTTAGTCATTGTGCTTCAAGCATTGGCAATAGCACATATGGCATCCTTTGAGCTAAACTTTTGAAAACCTGCCACATACCCTGGTCACATGGCCGAATTAATGAAGTAACATTTAGGGGGAAGTACATGGAGTAAACATTATTTTTGATGACAATTTCAGCTGGAGGATGGGCAGAACAGTTTGTCAAGGAATAACAAAAATCACTCAGTCATCTTCCAGTCTAGCTTCCCTGCAGTGAGCACGAGCCACTGGTGCAAAATATTTGTGAAACCAATCAAAAAAGATGTCACTGGGGATCCATGCCTTTTTGTTAGCCTAATAATGGACTCAGAAGAAATTCACTACTTGAAAACAGAGAGAATGCAAGGTTTTGCCTATCACAGCAAGTTCACACTCATGCGTGCCTGCTGCATTAGCATATGCCAGCATAGTTATTCTGTCCTTGGCATCTTTAATTCCTGCAGCAGCTGTCTCATCAGCTGTAGTCAGTGTCTTTCTGGGGCAATAACACCAAAACAGTGATGTTTCATTAGCATTATAGACTTGTTCTGGCATCAGATTTTCATCAGTGATGACCTTGGCAAACTCATCAATGAATTTCTCTGCTGCTTTGTGATCAGCAGATGTTTTATCACCATAAATCTTTAAAAATTTAATGCTGTGACTTTTCTTAAATTTCTGTGACCAGCCTGTTAAATATTCACAGTTCCCTTTAATTTTCAGTTAATCGTGATAGATCTGTGCTTGTTTCATGATCAGTGTACCATTAAGTGGCATTCGTTCTCTGCGATACTGACAGATGCAATCTTTCAATACACAACTGAGATCTTCATTTTTAGCCTTATGCAAAATATTTTCCTATCTTTCCTTAATCTCTGTTCATCACTTTCAGCACAGAACTTCAACAGTTTATCCTTCTATTTCTTCAGGTCATACATGGTGGTCATTCCTACGTCATACCCTTTTCTGAAATGTTTTACACTTAAACTGCTGTCCAGTCTCTCCAACAACTTCAGTTTCTGTGCTATAGATAAACATATGTGCTTCTTCTCTTTTTCCTATCATTGTTACCCATAGGAGTATATTCAGGCCTTTTTGACATTTTCAACAGTATCTTTATACCACAGAGGAGAGACTAAGCAAAAAACAACAACAAGAACAACAAACCCTAAAAAAACAAAAACCACAGTGAGTTATGCACGCAGGTCTTGGCCCCATGTGGGGCATCTCAGAGAATCCACTATTGGCACGTCCGTCCAGCAAACAGACCATTTTATTACCCTTTATGAGTGCACCTGCGTGTTGGAATCTGGGCATGTGCAGAAAAGATACATTGCAGCTTCCGCGGGCTGGGAGGGTCTTTCTTCCCTTGGGGATGCTGAATAAACTGTGTGTTGTGTGCCTGTGTTTTGACTGTGACCCATCACCTGAGGTTCGGTGTGGAATTTTCAACTCGTGGGAGTCACTTGGTGCTCAAAACATTTTGAATTTTGGAGCATTTTGGATTTCAATTTTTTGGATTAGGGATGCTCAATCTGTAGTGAGAAGTTTTTTACCTTTATTAAAAAACATGATGATGGTGATGATTTTGTTAGGGAATAATAATTCTTCAGATAAATGCAAGAGAAATATGAACAATTTTACCCACCTTAACATAGAGGCAACAGTTTGCCTTCTAATGTTATTTAAAGATTTAAAATTACTTAATGGTGGTAATCATCTCCCACTTTTTCTGTCTAGTATAGCATCCAGACTTGTGCTGTTCAACACCATCGGGGTAGCCATGAGGCATTTAAATCCAAATTTAAATTAATTAACGTGAAATAAAATGAAATATTCACTTATTATGCACACTAGCCACATTCCAAGTGCTATAGCCACATGTGGCCACCATATTGGACAGCACAGATCTAGAACAATTCTATCACCACAGAATGTATTATTAGTCAGCACTGGACACTGTTGGGTTTATATAGTTGAATCCCAAAAAGTGTTGATCAAATGAACTGCTATTCAAATATAATGTAATAGTGTATGGTAGATGTAGGCCATTTACTTACCATTTCAAAAGTTCTAACCAGATAGATTCCTGGAAATTGGTCCCTAAGACAAACTTTGTAGGGGCCTTAGGCAGTACCATCCTTAGAGCCAGGCAAAAATAACCCCTGTTCTGGGCCTTCCATTTTAGAGGACACCAACTTGACTCTCCTCCTCATGGGGTAAAAAATCTACAGAGCCAACACCAGGAGCCCCTGAGGCCTTTCTACTTTGCTGTGTCTCTACAGGACCCAGGACCCTGGAACTCCCTGACTGAAATTCCCAAGGCCACTTTCAGGCCCTGAGATGGGGGTCTTCCCAGAATCGTCCTCCCAATGGAGAACCAAACAACCAGAATGCACAGTCCTGGGCCTGAGGGGCAGCTAAAGGGCTGCTGTTTGAAGGTGTGGCCAGAGCGTGGTTGGGTCGGCTGGGGTGTCCACACACAGGTCCAGAAAGCCCCTTATGTTCTTCAATGGAGCTGGGCACAGAAAGCAAATGGGGTGAGGGTATACATGGGAAGGGCTGGGATCTGACTCTCTCCTACCTGCCATATTTCAGGGTGAAACTCCAAGGTATCTGAGAATTCTGTTTATGAACTTGACCTTCCAGGTTGTTATGAAGGTACATTTTTCAAGGTAGAAGAACAGAATATATCTTATTCGTTAGCTTAACATATCCCTCGGAAATTTTTAAGCATAGGGTAAATAGGCCCTGGACTTGCAAACGTTAGGGCAGGTCTGGCAATCTTAGATAAAGTAATGGATTCAGGCGAGGTATCTTGACCCATTTGCTAACTATTGCTCGAACTGGTGAACATCTGAGGTACCTATGGACGTCAGAGAGAAATTTCCTTCAAAGGGCTGCTGTTGCAGGGAGGCCCTGATACATCTTGTGCAGGAACCATAACTGTTGTTGCTGAAGGCCAGAAAAAACTTCAGAGAGTTCACGTTATTGGAGTGGAACCCGTTTCCTGGTTCTGGTGTGTTTGGAACAAATGAGTGCGCAGTGAGGCGAGAAGGAGATTCTTTTCAAGGCACTTGGTCTTGGGCACTTTCCCCCTGGGGTTGTTGGCCCAGGGTTACCAGGACTGCTCTTCTTCCCACTCTGTCCTCGGGGCCTGGGCTCCTCAGGCGGAATGGGCGGTCCCCAGGGGCGCACAGGGCGGCTTTGTCTGGAGAGCGGTGGCGGCGAAGGGAAACGTGCGGCAGAGTAGGCACCGCGGCTGGAGTGTGGACTAGAACTTTTCTGCGCCCTCTCCAAGAGTTACCGTCCTCCTCCGGGCTCCCCCATAACTCCTGCCCCGAGGCGGTGGCCGGGCGTGCGCGGGGCCCAGAGTCGGTTTGGCAGGTCCCGGGAGCGCGCGCCTCCTCCCCGTAGCGGCGGGAGGCGAGGGGAGCGGGAGAGGAGTCGGAGGAGGAGGGGAAGGGGCGTGGGCGGCCGGCGGCGGCGGCGGCGGCGGGCGGGGAGGAGCCGCCGCGGGCCCTGGCCGGGGGAGGAGGCGGCGGCGGCGGCGGAAGAGGAGGCGGTGCTCCCGCCGGGCCATAGAGCGGCGCTGGGACCCGTGCGGCCGTGACCCCGCGGCTCCCCAGAGGCCGAGCTCAGCCGCAGCGGACAAAGGAGCATGTCGGCGCCGAGGAGGGCCAGTCCCCCGGCCGCCATGAGGCTCCAGGCGCCTCCGGGCCCGTGCAGTGCCCCTGCCCGCGCGGGCGCCGGGGCGGCCCGCTAGGCCAGTGCGCCGCCGCTCGGCTCGCAGGCCCCGGCCCGCAGCCGGGCCCGCAGCATGGAGCCGCTCCGGTACCCGCGGGGCCGCGCGCCGCCGCCGCTGCTGCTGCCGCTCGCGCTGCTCGCACTGCTGGGAGGCGGCGGCGGCGGCGCTGCGCTGCCCCCCGGCTGCAAGCAGGATGGGCGACCCCGAGGGGTCGGGAGGGCGGCTGGCGCCGCTGAGGGCAAGGTGGTGTGCAGCAGCCTGGAGCTCGCGCAGGTCCTGCCCCCGGACACGCTGCCCAACCGCACGGTCACCCTGTGAGTAGCCAGTGGGACACCCGGTCCTCCCCCGTCCCCTGCTCTTTCTCATTCCCTCGCTTCTCTCTGCTGAACTTTGGAGAGGGTCCTCGGGTACCCACGCGCCTTTGTGTGAATGAAGCTGCAGGCAGGGGGTGGTGCTGAGGAAGCCCTTGTGTGCTTGGCATGGGTGCAGTTCGGGGGAAGGCAAGCGAATCTCCCTCTGAGCTGCTTCCTAGCTCCGCTGGTTTGCAAAGTAAAGTTTTCGGGTTCCCCGGGCTCGCCCCGCGCAGTCCAGGGCGCAGCGCTTCTGTGGCTGTGCGGTGCCACGTGAGGATGCGAGTAAACATGCAGTCGGCGGAGTTAAAGCTCATTCATCCTGGGCTGGGGCTTCCAGAAAACACAGTGCTCGATTTGACGTGCCAGTCCTTCTGCTTTTGTGCAAATTAAGTTACACTTAGATGGTAGTTTGCAGACCCAAGGACTTGGAACGCCCCTGCTTGTGACCCCCAAACCCCGGGACTATTCCTTTGCCTTTCGCTAACCTAGTTTTATTACAGTTGAAGAGCACTCCCTAAGGGTTATTAAGGGCTAGAAACATTAGAGGTTAAGTTGCACACCTAATTCCAGTCCCCTTTTCACGTGTATGAGAGCTCATATTTAAAAGCCAAGAACTCCGGAATTGAAAACTGGGTTTGTGGTGCCTTCCAACTCGAGGGACTTTTGATTTTCGGATTGAGTATCTACGTAGAAGGAAAACTTTGGGTAACTCACTTTGTGTTAGGATTCAGGGTCCAGTTTTGCAGGCGTCGTTCTGCCAATTCTAGCAGAACAGTTGGCCCCATTGACTGTTGGTTTTGTTTTCTGAACGATGAATTGGAATTGGAAAAGTTTTAAGTCTAAGTGTTTCTAATGGATATTTTGTTAAACTGAAATATGAGTCCCTGGCTCCGTGTTCCTCTGTGTTGTTTTGGTTGGTTTCCTAAAAAAGAATCAAGGCTGCCACTATAAAAACATGAAGGCCAGGGCCGCAGCATGATCTATGAAAACACTTAAAATACGGTTTTTAAAGTAACCCAATTTCAGCAGGAGGATGTACAGGCTGGATAGGTGTAAATATCATTACTAACACCTTTGTTTACTCTTCATTTCCATTTTTTTTTTTTTTTTGAATTAGGAAACATTTAACACATGAAAACTCTGTGAGTTTTTCTGTTTATGGAGGCATGAAGATGGATGAAATAGTTTTTGTTTTCCTTCACTCCTTTATCAACACTTTACCATTTGGTGGTGGCAGCAGTTGTATTTATTTATTTCTTAGCCAGATTCTTTGAAGTGGAAATTTTGGGCTTGGGACCTTAATTACAGTCTGAGTTAAGTGGAGAAAAACCCCAGTGTTGGAGATGTCCCTTGTGCAGAAATGAGTCATCATGCAGTGACTTTACAAACACTTAGGTCCTCTCCCTCCTGGCTGGGTCAGTGAGTGGTGCTTAGGTTGATTCATGTTTAGGTCCGGTTTTTCTGACGTCAAAATGTCAACAATTCCAGCTGGATTAGATCAACTACTTGTAAATTGTTGATTTTGCTTTGCAGAAAAAAATAGGTGATGTGGTAGAAAATTGCTTTTTTGCATATTGTAAGTTAAACTATTTTACTGAATTTTTCATGACTAATTAAAATATAAATGCCTTTGAAATATTATTTTAATCCAGTTTTATTTTTGTATCTGAATACTCTTTAGATGAAAATAAAATTAATAAAATTTATTTAGTGAATGGGAGGAAAGTGTAATTTATTTAAGGACCAATTAAAGCTGTGGTTCTGGACGAAGTGGGTTGAAAGTATATCAGACTTGGTAGAGGGTCTTATGGGCCAGTTTCCTCATTTTAGGCAGGTAATCAGAGAGTCACTGTAGATGAGTGACTTGTCTAAGTTCTCATAGTGAATTAGCTGCTAGGTCCATGTCCCAGCTTCTTGCCCTGCAGTTCAGATGCTTTCTCATCTTTCCCTTTTGCCTTCATCATCCTAGTTCAACAGGGTCTTTGTTGAGCGGTCCCTAGGTAGTAGGTAGTATGTTAAGGATTGGACTATGTGTTAGTTCCTGGGGCTCCTGCAAATTACCACGAACTTGGTGGCTTGAAACTGCAAAATTATTCTCTCGCGGTTCCGGAGGCCACAAATCCAAAATCAGGGTGTCAGCAGAGCCATGCTCCCTGCGAGGACTGTAGGGGAGAATTCGTCCTTGCTTTTTTCAGCTTCTGGTGTTCTTTGGCTTGTGGCAGCATAACTCCAGTGTCTGCCTCTGTCTTCGCATGGCCTTTGTCCCTGGGTATCTCTAATCCTCTCCTTTCTCTTCTGAGGACACCAGCCGTTGAATTTAGGGTTCACCCAAGTCCATGATGATCACATCTCAAGATCATTTGCTTAATTATATCTGCAAAGACCCTGTTTCCAAATAACATCACATTCAAAGGTTAGGACTTGGACGTATCTTTTTGGGCGACACTATGTAGCTCACTACAGAATATAAAAAAAATGGTCTTTTTTTCTCCAAGAACTTATGGGTATTTGGAGAGAAAAATTCATGAATAAGTCTCAAAACAGAATGGTAAATATTCTATTACCCAGGTACACATGAGAGCCACCAAGACCCTCATGGGCACAGTTGGTGGCATTGAGGATCTCAGGATCCTGAGGTGATTTTGGAAAGAAGAGAAAGATAACTGTGAAGAAAACTGTGAGGGGACAAGGGGAGGACATGAGGGCCTGGAAGTGGGGCCCCTCTGCATGCCCATGGGTTTGGAGAGGGCAGTGTCCGGTTATGACGCTTTGCAGTTGGTGTTGCGGGAATGTCAAGGGCAAGTGTCCGGTGCCCAGAGTGGTCAGAGGGGAGGCCATAGGGGCCAAGTCAAGGACAGACAGGCTCCCTTGGTTCAGCCTTTAGCCCTTAGATGTGGCCACGTGTTTTCAGCTGAGTTGTGATGTGGCTGCAAGGAGGAAAATTGATTGATGAGCATTGGGAGAATGACGAGGATAGGATAGAATTTGTTTTTTAAATAATGAAGAATTTCTATTTAGTGGATGAACTAGATTTCACCGCAGCCTAAAGCTCTGACCTTTCGACTGTCTTACATCATTTCCACAGCTGTGCTTACCAAGAGAGGTCTGGCTTGACTCCATTTGTTCCCAGTATTTCTTGTAGACTTTTGATTTGAAATATTAAATTGCATCTATAATTTTAACACATAAATTGAATAAAAATTTACCTGCGTTTAATATTTTTGTTGGAAATATAAATTATGTTCCTATGCTTTATATGAAATGTTGCTCAATATTTTAAGTTTTAAAAGTTCTGAGGACTTCATTGATAGGAACATTTACACATTTAGCTCTGCTTTTCCAAATGTGTTTTGCTCATAATGCTACATGGTGATTCTAGACAAAGAAAGAATAAAAAAAAATTTGCGATTTGCCAAATAACTTCTAGGTTTTTCTCAGATGAACACACTAAAATAGTGCATGAGTTTTGGTTCTTACTTTACAAAACATTATGTTTGTTTGCAACCAAAGAACTGGTAATTATTTGGACGTCACCATTGTGGTTCAGAACCAGGTACAAGAAAAAGAATGCTTGAATTGTTCAGAAACTTAAACCTAGTTGGGGGGAAAGGATTTGCACAATAGGAAGCAGGCATTTAGGGAACAATTAAAGAATGTCTGTAATTAAGTAATAAATCCTGAGCTGCAGACTGTTTCCGTGATTTAGGAAGCCTGAAAAGGGGAGAGATCAGTGTGGCTGCGAAGTCATTGGAAGGTTTTTATTTTCCTGGAGAAGTTAGGACTTGAGCATGGCCTGAAGGAAGGGAAAGATTGGATTGAGTGGGGGAAGAGGGCATTCCGGAGGAAGGGTAGGGAATGGTGACTGGACCACCGGATGTGGAGAGAGCTATCGGAGCCATTGGCTTGCCCATTGTATTTCAAACATGGGCCTGGTTGGGGTCAGTTAGGGGAGAGTGTGCACATGGGAAGAGGTGGCCCAGGCAGAGCTGCACTGGAGCATGGTGGAGCCTGCAGGGGAGGGTGAGAAGGAGCTGCTGAGAGGCTGGAATAGCAACGGGCGAAGAGGTGGTGGTAGAATCTGGTCCTAGAAGCCAAGAGAAGTTTACTTGTCCAGACAGGAATGGTTGTGCCAGTTGAGAAGTGCTGAGAGATCCCATGCAGAAAGACCAATGAATGGACAGACTACTGGATTTGACAGCCTGGAGTTCAGTGCCCTCCCTGAGCAGTATCTAAGCACCATGGGTGAAAGAAGTCAGGCTTGGGTGGCTTGAAGGGAGAATGGCGGATGAAAGCGTAGGTGGAGAGTTTGGCTTTCGATGCCACCAGGGAAGGTCCAGCCCCACCTCGACATGGGCATCAAGGCAGGTAGGAGGGCAGCGGGGTGCGGTGGGTAAAGAAGAGGGAGTTCTGGCCCCATTGCTTCTATTTTCCAAAAGACATCAGGCAGGGCAAGGGAGGAAGGTGAAAGAGAAGTGAATGGTCCTTTTGGAAAGTGAACCTGGGGAGTGCACAGAAGTCACTAGGGTTGAGCTGTGTCCATTTTTGCCTTGTGGTCAGATTTAAAGGGAAACGCTAAGCGCAGTTGTTTTTCTCTAGCTGGATTCAGCCTGGAGATGCTCGGATGTAGCCAGGTTGCTTCTTTGCCAGGTGAGTGCAGCCGAAGGAGAGAGGAGCAGAGTGATTTTAATGAGTAGACCAGCAAGGTGTTGTGGCCTGAATTCCTACAAGCGTAGCTGCTGGGTAAGGTTGTTATTGAATTCAAGGTCTTAACATACCTCTGTAGCCTGATTAGCCAATACCCAACACAGATTATTTTTCTTTCTGTGGAGGTTTGTTGAGGCAGCGTTATGTTGTAGGCACAGTGCTGAGTGCCAGGGGCTCAGGGATAAAATAAAACATGATGCGTTCATCTAAGGATTCGTCTTATGTACAAATTCTCTGCTTATCTAAACTGTGCCTGC